AATGACATTGATAGACTCTGATACTGTCCCCTCAGCTACCTTGTTCTTGGATAGGAATGATTGTAGCATGTCGTGGGCTCAAGGGCACCAATGAGCGCTTCTGTGCCACTGGGTTTTGCATAGGTTTCTGGAGGTCCGCCGCTGAGAACCTGTGTTTATCTGCCCTCCTTGGGCCTGACAACCCAATAGCAACCCAATGGCAACACGGGGCTTGCCTACGAATCCTGACCAGCTGTAGGCAGAATACCGCAAAGAAACCTATCCGCTCCGAAAAGCTGAGCTACCAGGGTGATTGAGCCAAAATCCTGAATCTAGGTGGTCAATAGCCAGTGAAGCAGGGATGTAATGGCGATATCCAGCCCTCAGACCACCTTTTGTGCCCTTCAAGCGAGGAGTTCAGAGGTCCTGATTAGGTTCAATTTGGTCCCAAACAAATAAAGGTTCACGGAAGCTGGAACATATGCAAAATCCAGTACCCACATTCGCATCTCCTGATCAAAAGAGCTCGGCACCCGGCAGCATTCTTAGAAACTCTCTATGGTCGATCCTTTTCTGGCTTGAACTCATTGTTCGTCTTGGAAAGATAGGACCTGGACACTTGCCAAATTCATTTTTTCTCTCGCCTTGATCACGAGGTCACCGTCAGCAACCTTCTTGCCGTGCATGAAAGGATGGTTGGATGGTTGAGGACGGGTCTTCGAAACCAAAATTGACGGATGGCAGTGCAAGCGGCGACTAGTACGATGTGATGCCCACTCGTACGTTAATGACCATATCGTGGTATTTGATCTTATGATTCTATCTTCCACATCTGTTGGTTTATCATTCACTACAATAGCAATGTCAGATATCCAAGAATATCAGCAACAAGACCGTCAACAGCATGCGGTGAACCTCTCTTATACCATTCGCACGCTTTGCCATAATCTACAAGTATCTGTATCTTTTTATGATAATCAACCGTCTGATCGACTATTGCCCTTCAGGATCACAAGCCATTGTTCTAAAGAAGCGTGATACACCACTTGCAAGTATCAATCATGGGTGCCTGTTCTTTTGATGTTGGGGGTGAGGCTTGGACATAGATATAAAACGTTGGTGTTCGTGTGATGGGGTGGAATCTCACCCGCTCAAGCACCTCGTTCCTTTCAGATTCTGACCCGGTGATGCCGTCTCTGTGAGTTGTTTCCTTCCGAAGTTATCTATGTTGCACATCGGCACTCACTGTCCCCCTAATCATTGAATACTGATGGCTCGCCGCTCCCTAGATTCCGACTGCGTACACTCACTTTGTTTCGTCTCTCTATCCTCACGCTCCCTACAAGTATCTTGATACCCCACCAAACATCGGCCGTGACCGTTGACACCGCTATTCCCTCGACTCTAATCATTGAAGAGCCCTTTACTTACACCTGGCACATATCTGACTCAGAGCCGACGGTGGTAGACCTGAACCTTGGTTTTGTCCAGTCGGGCCTGGCTCTATTTATGCAGACCTATCTACTTGTGAACGGGAGAACACAGGGCGAGTATACATATGGTGCTAATATTCCCCCTGGGTGGGTCATTTTATTCTCCTACGGGTAAGGCAATTTCACTAAAAGTAGTCAATGGTCAATGGGAGTCTCGTTTACTCGTAATCAGAATCTCCGCATCCGAGTTAGTTGTCCCTCGGACGGTTGTTTTCGCTGGTACCCGACCTTTACCATCGCCGGCGACGACACTGTCGCAGAGTGCCACCACTAAAGCACCCCCGAGTGCAACTAATATGACATCAGAGAGCTCAGGTACCACAGCGTAAGCATGTCAACTCCTTTTCTCACTCTTGAATGTATTCTCTACATCAAGAAACCTACCACTACGGTTCTCCCTCCTCGACATTTCGGGCAGGTTTACGCCTGAATCTCTTTTCCATAAGCCACTACCGATCTGACAAATAATTGAATTCAGACCAACTGCACTGACCTCGACCACCCCTGCAAAGTCGAAGGGAAACATCCCGGTGATCTTTCGGAGTGGCGTCCTTGGCGGGGTCGTAGCACTTCTAACTTTGGGGATCTGCTGGAGACGTTGTAGGGCAAGGAAAGATACGCCAGACCCTTCCTGATCAATCTCAACGAGCGACCCTCATCATTACGAACAGCACGCCTCCACAACCTCTACCAGACGTCATCCCTTCAGCGTTGGATCGGAGGTTACACCTCAGATTCAACTATGAACAGCGGCAAGACACGCAGACTCGAACTACCGCCTCGCCAACTTTCTCATGGTGACGATTATGACCGCTTGGAGCAAAGAAACCACGCCAGTGTTCCCCACAATCCAGAGGTTCGAGCCCAGCTTCGAGAAATGGCGGAGAGAATCGCGAGGTTGGAAGCCGATCAAGCGCCTCCAGATTATCGTTCCAACGTCTCCGGCTAATAGCAGCCACCAGGAAATCCTCAGGGAGCTGGAAATCTGTGTTGGTATATACTCGAGGTCCGATGCTAACGTGTCCTGTATATCTAAAGTACACTATCTGTGAATTTGAGAGAATCAATAGTAATGATAGATTCGACGGTGTGAAGCACCTCTAGCTCCAGGTCCTCCCAATCTACTGTCAACTTACCGCTTCTCCAGAACCGGAGCGAGTCGAGATAGTAGTCTGCATCTGAGGGAGGAGAGACACGAATCAGCCTTGGATTCATCAATGCCGGGAAAAGGACTGTCAAAGTACGAAAATGGGATCCTTTGAGGCCTGAGTAATACGCAGGCCAGAGTTGAACCGACATATATTCCTACACGAGCCACTAACTAGAACCCAAATATGCGACGTCAAAATAAGACCTGGAGCACAGAAGTCAACCAGCAACGCGCCGGCATGGATCACTCTTGCTCCCGTAGCTTTGTCCTCCTCTCCATGGTCTTCTCTTCTATCCATCCGGTGGGTACGCCGAGCCCAATAGGGGAGAATGTTAATTCCCTTACGCGTCCAGTACACAGGTCATACTAATCAGCATCCACGCGACGTACGCACACACGTATCTCTTGAAATGCTCTTCAAACTCGATCTCATCCAAAAACTCAAGGTTATCCAAATCATTTATCAAACCCCCGCTCCAACTGTTCCATACTCAACAACACGCCATCTATATTCGACTTCCAGAAGAGTACGAGAGCCACGGCGTTTCCTTTGCCCTCTCCTGCCGGTACGAGTCGGTGATTCATAGCAAAGCCGGCGGAGATTTTAACATTCCCTCTATTGTTATTTCAGGTAGTTGTTGCTCCCTTACCTTGTCTGCGTCTGTGTCCGTGTCGGTAATATCTATAGAGACCAGGATTGGGGTTGGCTCAAAGGCGGTGTTCAGGTTGGAGGTACAAGTAGAAGCAGTAGAGGTATTGGTGATCAAAGGCGCAGGATGGGTATGCATATATCTCGCACTGAATCTGGTGGTGTTTTTGAGGGAGCAACTGCTATTGTCGTCGGAAGCGGGGGTTTTGACTTGGCCTTGACCTGCACCTTCCCTTACATCATCGTCTCCTTTTCCTTCCCCTACTCGAGCTTCACAGACGGTTCAGGTGACGATGAGAAAGCACCAGCCGTTTCCATCGTCGATGTTGATACTACCGGTTTCGTAGCTTCGGGATCGGGTTCAGATGTTTGCTTGGTCTCTGAGAATGGTGGAGGAGGTAAAAGTCGTAACGGCTGCACTGGTATAATAGATTCGGGTTCCTGCCCTCCGTCTTTATCTCGTAAAGCAGCACCCAACGAGAATGGTAGCGGCGGCGAAGGTTGTATAACGTGATCAAGAGGCGCATCAAGGTCGAGTTAGTGCCGGTATCGTGTCAGCGGGAGAGGGCGCATCTTTGCCCGACGGCTCTATGGGTCCGTTCAAAGGGGAGGTAGAGCTCGGCGAGGGCAACGCTAGTGGGGATGGAATGGAAGAAACGTTGGTTTCGAGCACAGGTGTTGGGTCTGGATGATTGGATACCGGCGCATTCGTATTCGAGATGGCAGACGACGCTGCTGGCTGGGTTATCTTTGACGGACCGAATATCTTCTTCGTTGGGAACTTCTCCTGCTTGGCTGGCGATTTTCTGTAGTGTTGAATAAGCATCTCGGAGGACTCGAAGACAAATATACGTACGAAGCCCAAACTGTCAACTATACATCATCAACCTGCCTGCCATGCCAGTGTTGATACTATCGAACGTCGTATCCATATCGATGTCATTGTCCAAGTCCATAGTCACATTCATCAGCTCCGTCTGGTTCAAATTCAGAAGGAGCGGAGTCTGGGTCTTCAAATCAACACAGACATCGAGAGGGAAAAAGAAAACACGCACCTCATCATCCCAACCCTCAATAGCAGACTTCAAACTTGCCAGCTAATGCGGCGTCGAGTACGTTTTCGTCTTCGTCGGGCTGTTCCCCCTGGGCGATTCAACCAAAACGTCTCTTTTCGATTTCGCCGGCGATGCATCCCGCGGTACCATGCGCGTAGCTCCCATCCCTAGCACGCCGTATTCCTCTCCGTTGCTCCCTTGAAAGGAAGAGTATCCGCCGCCGTCTTTACGTGAGAGGTAAGAGTCGTCGTCCCCATTGCCGTTTGGGATTTGGAATGAGTCTTCTGTCGATGCGAATAAATCCGGTAGGTGTCGTGGACTGAGGTATTGGTTGGGTATTTGGGGTGACTGCATCCCGAAGCACTGTCAGTACAGTCGCGGAGAGAGGGTATAAAGACAATAAGACGAATTCGTCGAACCCGAACCATCGTTGTTGGTGATGATGACTGTCAATGGCCAACTATAGATTTCACATCTAGCCGCGAATCGACACATGTCACGTTCACGCGTCGGTCACAAGACTTGCCGGGCGGCACTTGACAATATCTGCGCCGGCGTTTCGTTCGACAGGCAAATCTCAAGCTCAAGCTAGAAAACTGACAAGGGAATGAGCTGCGAAGCCGACAAGGAGAATATCCACCCGAGAGGGAAAAAGCAGTCTTGTGTGGGCCCATCTCCCTGGCTGGGAGTCGAACCCAGCTTTCGCGCGTATATTCCTGCGCCATCTGTATGACAGGCGCGTGTACTAATAACCGATATACTACCAGGGATTTACCTCCTATCATGATGCTGAGGTCTATATACCGTTTTCAATTCTCCCTCAATCTAAACTCTGATGGAGCCTTTGGAGTTTTCTCAAAATCCTTCGAACACGGGATTGAATCACAGAGCAAATACTCGGACTAAACATCCTTGTTGACAGACTTGCGCGCTCACAAGGTGGATTTACCTACTGACCGATCGATCGGATTCCAACGTGTTACCCAAAAGTAGATACCACCCAATCCTAATCACACTCGAGTTTTCTCAGACTCCTTGTCCACGGGACCTAATACTCGGACTTTTTCTGCTGTATGTATATCCAGCCGCACGCCCGATCTCTAACTCCGTTATGGTGTAGTGGCTAACATTATCGCCTCTCATTCACGAAGTCCTCCTGCTTGAACGCGATAGCCCAGGGTTTGATTCCCTGTAACGGAATGCAAGGTATTGAGGCAATTTTTTTTTGTATCTTTCTACCATCATTTCTGCTTTCCATTAACTCTCAAACACTCATTTCTCTTTTTTCTTTGTTTACAGCCTAGGTCATTCTGAGAGTCCCCTCAGGATTTGACTATTAACGGCTTTTGTGAGTTTGATGCCTCACAGTTTTCGTTGAAACTTTGTTGGAACGGGAAGTGAACAAGTAGGAAGCCCCAAGAGAGAATTGGACAAAGAAACCTGTTCCCAAGTTAGGTTCCCATTCTCGTTCCGGTGATTGTCCAAATTGTCTGCTTTGTTTTTTTTGTAGTTGGAAGCTTTACCCTCCCATTTCGCGAACGCCCAACTCTATTAAAAAACCGGGTATTTGTAAAGTGGGAACCACCTCACATCCTTTCGCACCCATCCCTCAGATGAACCAACGCAACGAGTCCTTAAAGCGAGGGTGACCTAACGTAGCGTAGCCCCTCTTTCTCCTTCCCTCTCCCGGGGGTAGGGATTTACCAACCGCCGCGGCTTTTGAAGGATTCCATCGTAGACTTACGGGTCCTATCACCGGTAGTACACACACATACAGACTCTCCGCCTCCTCGTAGTACTAACGACACAAAATTCTACGACAATCAACTTCTTTGGTAGCCTGGGGATTGTGTACACGTGTACCGTTCCAGTTCTCCCCGAGTACATCAAGTTGCTACGACACGAACAGTCAGTACCGACGTAGCGCAAATGACTTGGCGGCGCAAAGTCAAGGAGGTTTCATTACAGACTTCCGTCCTAATCACTGATACTCCGCCATTCCGTTATGGTGTAGTAACTAACATTATTGCCTCTCATTTGGTAAATCCCCGTGGATGTACACGATAGCCCAGGGTTCGATTCCCTGTAACGGAAATAAGAATCCTGGGTAGATACATGTTTTTTCATGTACGGTACACATACATTCGCCCGAGTCGCACCTATGAGGAGTTCCGAGCCTAACAATGGACTGCACATTGGTATATGCCTTCTACTTCATCTTAACAGCCTATGCGGTACAGAGCACTCTCGTTCTGTATTGTTATCACGGCTCAGGCGCCATGCATGATGCGAGGACAGGACATCCTAGACAGCGACTCGACGAACAAGTGACCGATGGGCTTCTCCCACTTCATTTCGTCAACTTAAGGAGGAAAAAATGTAAAACGGCTGCCCGCACCCAAGGTTCCCCAACTCCCATCATGATAGCTGGAGGTGGTAAGAAGAGAAGGTACACACTAATTAAATCTTGGTTGCAACTTATTCGCCTTCGCGGTTCTCGAATAAATTTCAGCATGCTTTGTTTCAACGGACGCTGAAAAGCGAGTAAACAACAAGAACGGGGGGGAATGGGCGCAACGTCGGAACGATCGAACGCCATTTTTCAACTCCGAAGCTATGGTGCGATGATTGCCCAGGTGTTGAGAACTTCCGAAGGTATGCTGTCTTTTAAAATTTCCTCTTACCATCTATTTACCTCACGGTCCCCTACCGCGAAAATCATTCGTGATACCAGGATTCACGTATCTCAGATACTTAATATCTTCGTCATCTAATATCCGTGACTACTCATTAGACTGCTGTCTTTTAAAATTTCCTCTTACCATCTACTTACCTCACGGTCCCCTACCGCGAAAATCATTCGTGATACCAGGATTCACGTATCTCAGATACTTAATATCTTCGTCATCTAATATCCGTGACTACTCATTAGACCGCTCAGAGTCGGGCGTGGTCGAAACAGGCGGTTTGAGCTTTGCGGCATTCCAGCGACGGATGATAAATTATGTATCAGCAGACGCATGGATCTATCATACATAATTGAGAGCTGGGACACACAGAAACCGACTTTAGCTAAACATTCCGGCGTCTGTATAGCGAGAGGATACAGACGCCGGACAAGTATTCTCCGGCCACTAGGTCGAAACCCAACTATACCCCTATCAAACATTTCGGCCCGTAGTAAACGGAATATCCTGTAGGACAGCGCCTACTATCAAGCTACTGATTCTTCATCCCGCCTCCTTTCAACCAATTCACGAGTGGACCTGCGGATGTCGATGACACTGTCCACCAATCCTGGAGGGTCTCCTGTATTCTCCCCGGCCCCCATCTCTCCCAACACATTTGTCTTGAACGACTCCTGGTTGTTGATGGCGATTCCGAGTGCCGTGCGTACAATAATCAAGGTCGAAGCAATTCCCTAGATCATATTAGCCAGTGAGAACGGTCGTTGACCAAAGAAAAGTTTGGGGCGGGAGTCGTGGGCGTGGTCAGGCCGCCCCGTTGTACATCACAAGTATGAGGACTCACCATCACGGGGATCATCAAACTGTAAGAGACTTCAGGGAAGATCGTAGAGGCTGTTGGTATAACTTCTCCATTCGCACCGCGGAGTTCAGCACTGAGGGCGAGTGAAGATGCCGTGTATATGAGGAGATCGACAGGGTAGATCAATCCCGATTCTAAGCTGGGAAAATTTAAGCACGCTCATCAGCAAGGGATTAAGGGAAGTAAAATACGAGCAGTCTCACCATGCAGCAATGATGGTTTTGTACATTCGCGATACGCGTAAAGCACCGTATTTCGTCACTTGACGACTGATGTAGAATATACGTCCGGCTTCAGCGACTTGTGGCGTTAGCAACCAAGTTGTTCCAGCAGAAATCTCTTCTCACCAATCAGGGAAGTCAACAAAACATGCGAGCAAAAGCTCACAATAGAGAACGGCCACGAAAGGTAGCTTGCCCCGTCGCCGAAGAAAAAAAATGTTATCACTTCCGCATACATACGTGAGTTGAGACGCGATAAAGGAGATGAACACCTTACCGAAATGGTTCATCAGGCAGACAAGTCCTGGGAGAATGACTACTCGCCATCGACTATTCCAGACTAGATAGCACCTTGCGAGCTATTGTCACACAAAAATGGTCTTTTATCAGCGGCGAGAAAATTGTACGCCACAGGTACAGTAAAGACCTACGAGGATCAAGTCTAGTATAAAACTGGCGAATGGATGTTGACTATCATATCCAAAATTTCAAGCAGTTAAATCAGGAACACTTACCTTGCTGCCAATGTAACGGAGAATGCAGCAATCTCCAAGTAACTGTTTTGCGCCAGTGGCATGGGTAGGAGACCGGTATGGTGACAATTGAGAAACGGCTTAGAAGCGGGAACTTACGTCTGCTGGCGACCGTCAAAGGGGTCTCCACAATCCTGGCGATAATCGTTGATGACTACTTGAGGTTTACTCCCGACCCAACTCCAAAAGATCGAGCATGTGCTTGCCCTGTCGCTCCTATGTTCGAAAAATGCAATGACAATATTCAATGCGAGCCTAGTTGTTGCCAGAAGAAACAGACTGGTGATGAGCGTGCAGTGAAGGCGGAATCGTGTGTGCCTGCGTCGGATTATTATTGAAATGGACGTCGCAAAGAGGACCACATATATGCCTGAGGGAGTCGTGGATATAATCATTCGCAGTTAATGGACAGACACTGGTAACTAGCATGCACTCACCGTAGAAGATAGATGATACCTAGTTTATCGTACCCCGGGTCAGCAAAATGAACATGATGATTTCAAAAGAATTCCAGCTTACACTTATCGCAATAACCAGTTTTGCGAACGGGTCAGGATATGGAAAGTTCGAAAAGCGATCCCTTATGACCAGAGTTGCTGTGGGTTCACCAGGGCCGAATGAAGTGGTTGAAGACATCTGGGAGGAACAAGTGAATGTGAATATTACATCTACCTCTGTTCTCATTAAATATCCTCCGAGCCGTCTAATGTTACCGGACCTGAGGCATCAGATCGTTGGAAGAACAGGTTTTGAATGACGAGGCTATCCTTCATACTTCTTAGGAACAAAGGCAATTGTTCTCAAGGGGTGTCACCCGGGTATCTCGGTCATATGGGGTAGGGGGGAGGGGGGGTCCCCAAGCCCTTAAGGTCAAAAAGTTACCCCCCCTTGAGCGGACCTTGGGGGTCTAGGGAGCCCTTTTTAGACATGTTGACACTCATTTTAACATTCATTCAGAGAGCTCAGAGGCTGAAGAATAAAGTAGATGGCCATTTTGACTCAAAGTCTGGTGTGAACTGTACAGGTTGCCAAACTTGGAAGGTATGCTGGAGTCTGGAGTCTGGGTTTTGGACCTTACTATCAGATGTATAATTTCCTCAAGCAACCAACTTGAGTCCCACCGTGTTCGGAGGCTCTCAGTACCTTTTGAGTAACATCCGCGCCAGCTCAGACTGGAAAGTTCATTGTCGGGGCGTGTTTGATAGGTGGGACTGGCATGTGACTGTGAGAAAGACCTTCCCAAAATGGTAGGAGGGAGGGGGGAGGGGGGGTCCCGAAGGGCCTTAAGATCGTATGGGAAGATCATATATAAATTTTCTTTTGGTGACACCCCTTGATTGTTCTAATAAATACTGGTTTGTCCGTGCGACTTATTGACGTGCGAAAAGTTGGCCGGAATTGTAGCACAAATGCATTGTTATCTGAAGGGTGGAGAATACTCAACACCTCAGCACCAAAATAAGAGTGCACCAACTTCCATCAAATCAAATCACTCAGCAGGGGTTTGAGTTTGAGTTCACACAGCCCGACTCATACTATTGAAAAGCCTTGACCATATTGTTTCTCAGGACCGAAATGTGAGTTTTGAAGCGAGGACAAAATCGTCCCGAAGCTACTGACCTATTTCACTCAATTCGTATGGCGTGTGACCATTTTCGAAATAAACTTTTCGCCAGAAATTCCGATAAATCGAGAAAAAATTATTGGCGGGGTTCTCGAAAATGGGTGTGACCTGTGACCATACGAATTGAGTGAAATAGGTCAGTACCAGATTGGCTTGCGATAAAGACTGTGGCACGATGGCACCAATGAGCAACACGGTGTTACCCACGTTCGTAGTGCTTAAAATACTCAACAGCTCCAGACATCCGGGAGTGTCATAACCGGTGGCAAGGAGAGCATGTGCTCAACGTTCGATGACTTCGACTTCTTTGGAGGTGTGAGCTGTAGCAATCAGACTCAGGGACAGCCACTCTATAGCATCTATTACTAGGCTGTATTGCCATCGTGTGGCCGAGGGCAGTTTCGATACAAAGTAAAAAACAAGTACATGTCGTTCCCTCAAATATCATGCTACAAGAAACCGACCCTTCTGGGCTGTCCTAGTCATGGGACTCATCGGTAAAAACGCCTCGGACGATTGACAGACACATTGACTCCGTGATACAAGTTTCCAATCCTGGAAGATGACAACCAACGAGAGTAGTTGTCATAGCTCAGGTATGCCGACCTGGTTTGTATTCGCGAGCTAGACTTCCAGAGTCTACAACCCCTGTTGAGTCGTGGGCAGACGCACGTCAACAGATCAATACCAAGACGCGTACACTGAGACCGAGAGCGACAGTGTCGGAGAATCTCTGATTCGAAAGTAGGCTTTATGGATTGGGCATAAGGTGTACCGCTATTATCAAAGCCTGGAGGAAACCTTGTATCTTTCTGAAGCTTCCTGATCGCCTTCACTCCGCACGACGGTCGGCTTCCCAGCCCTCATCAGCAAAGTGCAGATTTTCCCGGTGACCGTTCTTGGCCGTTCTTGGCACTTGAGCCGTTCCCTCAGGGTGGCGGGCTCACCGGTCAGAAAATTGGGTTCATTGTGAGCTTTAAATGACCTACCTCATGTGAGATTTTTGTCTAAAAGACCTCCTAAGAGTGTTTTTACTCTGAGTGAAGACCTAGGTACAGAAGACATCGGTAAAAATCCGCTCGGAACTCAGTTTTGTTTACCAAAAATACAGCCGGTGAGATTTTGGACCCAACCGTTCAGGGCCCAACCGGTGAACCGGTACCGGTCATAAACGGTCGTAAACGGTTACTTCGCGGGTTACTGATGCTGAATTCCAAAAAAAAACTAGCACACACGCAAATACTCGATTGGGGATGCATACTCACGAGCCGCCTGCGTAGAGATCAACCAAGGGTATCTATCACCCCCTTCGAGACACATTAGAGCAAGACACAAACAGTCCCTCCTACCATAGCAAAACTCGTTTGTTCGCGTTCGACTTGACTGTGAATCTTCCCCCGTCGCACAAGCTTGCTCGCCATGCCCAAAATACGATGCACAAACGTTTGAGACCGCCGAGACTCCAAGGACTGTCATATACACCTACCAATCGAGAACGAGAAAACACAAGGTACAATGATAATGACGCTACCAAAGAGTCGACCACCTCCCCAAACACGCATACTGAAAGGTATCTACGACGAAGCACTAACAAAAACTAAAAGCGGCCCCACACTCGCGATTCTTCCCCCTCCTGACCTCCCCCGCACTCAACTGGTGGGTGTTTATACCCAAAGTCGTCAAAAAAGTGAAGTTTGTTTTGATCGGTGAAGCGAGCAAGGGCGATGGTGTGGGACGAATCGTCTCCCGAGCGCTATCGAAGTTCAACCGGGATCAGTGTTTGGTAGAGAGCGATGAATTGGGACGAGAGGTTGTGGTACCTCGTAATATAGCCCGCCCTTCCAACCTGGAAAATCGAATAACTCGATGTAAGGCTGGCTCCCATAGGAAGCCAGGTCGGCAATTATGAGGTCGATCCAATCTGTATCACTCATCGTTCAGTCATACGGCACGGAAGGGAGGGGAGGAAGGCCGTTAGGGTACTCACGATGACATAAGATGAACAAATTGCTCTTGATATCGCTCATAAAGCGCATGGTGTGTTCGGGTGAGGTAGAACAGGTGGAATTTAATGGATCATCAACGAAGCGTTCAGCATCTCAGAGTGTGGGCACCGTCGGTTCCCATTCATTCAAGGTTATCTTGAAGCTTATGAACATAACTGAGGTGCTAGTGAGAAGAGTTCGAATGTTTAGAAACATCATACAGGGGACGGACCGTATATTCCATCCTCTCTTATACTCGAATGGACCATACTTAGGCGATATCGCACGGGTACGAAACTCCGAGCCTACGTAGTGTGTAGCGGCGAAGGTAAGTCAATGTAAGAATTGATATCAAGTCCGAATGACAAAGCCGAGCCACCAACAGTACTTGTACGACTGCGTCAACGAGTCCCAGGGAAAAGACTATTTGAGGTGCAAAATGAGATCCCTGAAGCTTGAGTTTGAGAATAACATGCAAGCCATAGTCGAACCGACACATGGTTCTATGCGGTGTACTGTCTACGACCTGGAAACGCAACGTCTAACCAAAATCAGAAGCATAGAGAACGGTAATCAACGCACTAGCGTAGATAGTGCCCTGATTTTGCGGCTTTGTCCTCCCCTCCATGGCCTTCTCGTCTATTTCTTCCTGTGAGTACCGATCATCGTTCGGTATTACGCCGAACTCAACAGAGGAACGCGCCTAGAACACGGGTTAAATCAACTAATATTCATCGACGTCAAGTGCACGGCGTACCTCTTGAACTCCTCGTCAAACTCGACCACATTTAAGAATACCCGAGGATACCCAAACCGTTTGTTGGACCTCCTCTCCAACTGTTCCATACTAGACAACACGCCATCTATCTTCGAGTGCTCCCAAGTACGAGAGACGTGGCGTTTTTTTTGCCCTCTCCTGCGGGTACGAGTCGGACGTGGTTCATAGCAGAGCCAGCGGAAGTTTCGACATTCCCTCTATCGTTATTTCAGGTTACTGTTGCTGATATCTATAGAGACTAGAGTTAGTGTTGGGTCAAAAGCGGCGGCGCACAAGTTGGAAGCAAGTAGAAGCAGTAGAGGTAATGGTAATCATAGGTGCAGAACGGGTATGGATATATCTCACCGTGAATCTGGTGGTAGTTTCGAGGGAGCAACTGCCATCGTCGTCGGAAGCGAAGGCTTTGACTTGGCCTTGACCTTTCCTTTCCTTTCATCGTTATCTCCTTTTCCTTCCCCTGCTCGAGCTTCACTGGCGGTTCACAGGCCGTCCAGATGGCGATGAAGAAGTGGGGTCTGGGATCTTCATGTCAACACAGATATCGAAAGAGAAAAAGAAAACACGTATCTCATCATCCCAACCCTCAATATCAGACTTCAAACTCGCCAACCGATGCGGCGTCGAATACGTCTTTGTCCTCGTCGGAGTATTCCCCCTAGGTGAATCAACTAAAACATCTCTTTTCGATCCCTCCCTCCTAGGCGTAACTCCAGCACGCTGTATTCTTCTCCGTTGTTCCTTCGAAAGAACGAATATCCGCCGCCGTCCTTGTGTGAGAGTGAGAGGAGGTACGAGTCGTCGTCGTCTCCATCGTCGTTCGGGATTTGGAGTGAGTCTTCTTCTGTCGATGCGGATAAATCGGGTAAGTGTCGTAGACTGAGGTCTTGGTTGAGTATTCGTGATGACTGCATCTAAAAGAGCCACCAGTACAATCACGGAGAGAGAGTATAGAGACGATGAGAGATGAGACGTACCCAAACCATCGTGGTTTGGTGGATGAGTTGATGATGACTGATTTGGCGACGAGAATTCAATAACGTCACGTTCACGCGTCGGTCATGAGACTTGCCGGCCGGCACCTCTCAGCGTCTCGTGCCAAAACTCAAGTTGAATCGAAAGGCTGGGAAAGAAATAAACTACTCAAAAGACGCTAGAGAGGGGGGAAAGGGTGAAAAAAAATCAACTCACAAAGAAAAAGCGATTTTTGCGAAAGCCTTACCTCCCTGGCTGGGAGTCGAACCCAGCTTTCGCGCGTTTGAATCCAGCAGGACGGACGACAGGCGCACTTGCAGGCGCGTGTACTAACCATATACCACCAGGGAGTTACACGCCGTTCGTTGCACAAGGAAACATGCCTTTCCAGTTCTACCCAATCATAAACACTCACGAACCCTTTTAGAGTTTTCCCGAGATAGTTTACACAGAATTGAATCAAAGCCAATACTCGGACTAAACATCCTTGTTGACAGATTTGCGCGCTCACAAGATGGATTTATCTACTGACCGATTGGATTCTAACGTGTTGCTCAAGAGTATATACCACCTCAAGTTTTCTCAACTTCATTGTTCCACGGAAACTAATGCTCGCACTTATCGCTGCCAGTATGTACACCCAACCACTAAGACTCCGAACACCTCCGTTATGGTGTAGTGGCTAACATTATCGCCTCTCATTCCAATGGCCCTCTTTATAGAGCGCGATAGCCCAGGGTTCGATTCCCTGTAACGGAACTTCATGGATACGCCCAGTCTTTTTTCCCATACCAGGTTTTGTATTCACTTTTTCCGGTTGGGACCCATACTCTCGTGTATTCATCCCGTGCCAGTAACCTCTAAGCACTCTGAGCAATTTAACTACGGGGCTCCTTCGAGCTAGACCTACTACATCAGTACCTTTCCCTTTTCTTACACTGTACATACTTACAATGTTTCGGGGACAGCTTGCAGCTTACCAACGAATCCCCAACTCACAAATGAATCAGAGAGGGGGTAGCCTCTAAACACACCCTCCTCACCGTCACCTGTCGAATTCCCAAATCCCAAACCCCGTGTGCCCCCTACCTTCTTTTTCTTCCTAAATGTGTTTCAAGGACTCGGATGAGGTTTCAACGTTCAACCCCAGACTTTCCCGCCTCCTGCAAGAGACAAAGGTAGCACTGCGTGACCGCACACAAACTCTTAATTAGATATCGTGTTTTCCTCAATCAAGTTCAACTTTCTGCAGCCCTGAGGCAGGACTGTACAAGTACCCCTCTTGAATCCTGATCCCGCTCTCACATGACACGAAACGGCACCTTTCGCCTCCCTATCTATACTCAATCATCTGCCCTCACTACAATTCCATTATGCCAGTGTAGTGTCTAACATTATCGCCTCTCGTCTGCATAGCTTCCCTCTGTGAAGCGCGATAGCCCAGGATTCGATTCCCTGTAACGGAATGCATGATAACAAGCAAGTGTTTTTTTTTGTATCTTTCCGCTTTCACCTTTCAGTCGATCCATCACCTCTCAAACTAATTTATCACTTCCCCATGAGCCTCTTTTCTTTGTTTAGCTCTAGTCTACATGAAGAAATAGACACGGTGATTCAACAACCTAGTCTTTCTGAGAGTCCCCTCCGGATCTGACCAGGCACTAAGAATCCCAAGTCACCACACACCGCTCAGATTGAAATTGAAGTTGTTTTGAATACTGACCTATTTCACTCAATTCGTATGGTCACAGGTCACACCCATTTTCGAAAACCTCGCCAATGATTTTTTCTCGATTTATCAGATTTTCTGGTGAAAAGTTTATTTCGAAAATGGTCACACGCCATACGAATTGAGTGAAATAGGTCAGTAGATCACATACATAGTAACCTGGAGCCGGAAGCATAAGTTCAAAGATGCTGGAGGTGTTGAACGCAAAAGTCGATTGGAAAATATAACACATAAAAAGAATAACAAAGGGGGGAGCGGAGAGTATATTCACTTACTAGCTCGAAACACCCCGAGGAAAGCGATATGCGTTGAGAACATGGAAGAATGTAAGAACAGGAGAGGGGGGGAAGACTTAGACAACAAGATAACAAAACAAAAGAATATCAATTCCTTTGTATAATCAATACCTTCTTGGCTGGGAGTTGAACCCAGCTTTCACGCGTCCCAGTAGAACCCCATGTCATGACAGGCGCATGTACTAACCAATATACTACCAGGGAATTACATTCTACTCTATGGCCACCTTCCCTTCAAAATCAGGGCAAACCCTTGAGGCTCCTTAGGCCCTCTACCTTAAGTTTTTACCCTCAAGTATGCTGCTCAAGTAGTAGAAGTCAAAATCAGATTTGACTTAAGTATCAACTTCACAAATATCTGAAGGAACAACTTCAGGAAATCTTAAGAACAGCTTGAGTGAAACTTGAGATTTACTCTGTATTAATGTAGGTAGGGAACTTGAGTGAAAATTGAGTAGGGAATAAATAGCCTTGAGAAAAGAAGCCAGACTTGAGCAAACATAAAGTATGGACTTGAGCAAAGGGGAAAATGAACTTGAGTGAAGGAAAATGTAGACTGATGAGCCAGCATAGTCAAACTGCACAGTGGGTTATAACGTCCTAAACCTCACCTTGGGTTAGATAGCTTGTAGAGCTAGTAGTTAGAGTGCTTTGAGATGCTTGAGAGGCGATAATTGAGTAGATTGTCCTAAGGCTTAAGGCCTTGGAATACCAGCTTTTATACACAAGTTTCAGTACATGTAAGAGTCATTACCATTGTATGAAACTACTACTAGAAGTAGGTATTTAGCCATATAGTCATAATACTAATAAGTGTGTCTGCAGTCCTATTGGCCTGCTTAGCTACTAAAGTCCGTTGTGCCTTGCACTAAGGACTATGAGCATCATACCTGATGCAACTACATACGTAGCAGGTATCTACAGTGTCATTTGTGAAGCAATAGCTACATAGATACTTCTTGCATGAAAGCGCAAGTGTTCTTAGAGGCATAGCTCTATAAATAGTGTGTAACGTGTAAACAACACATCAGCAATGTATCACATGATATCCATCACGTTCAACATAGACTTGAGTGAATGATAAAGAAACAGAGTTAAGGAAATTATGAACTTGTGTGAATGTGGGCAAGAAATTGCTCAAGGCAAGCATATATGTGATCAAAAAACCAGGCTACATGTTCCTCCACTTGATATCTCACCCCAATACTTTCTCCTTGTTGCCTACCATATGCTTGCCACCCATGATCCATTGAAATGCAATACCATGTTGATGCCACGGGAGAGCGAGTGTGAAGGACACTGTAGTCTGTGGGCAACATGTATATGCTGGAAGGGAGATGTAAGGGGAGGATCTTTCTGATGATTGGGAGGCCTGTAAACACTGACAGACAATTTGAGCAACACTGGAAGACTTGCAAGCATGTGCTATGTACAAGAATTGGCTCTTGGCCAAAGCTGAACTGCCACAAAGCAGGTATGTGTCTCAATCAACTCTGTGTTTCATTCTAATTCATGATTCTAGAGTTGTACATGCACCTCAAGATGGAATGTTCAGGGTTTACAAGGGTAGCAATGGTGTGTTGTTGTAAGTCGGCTCTTTTTGACTCGTTACTCTTTGCTCATTGTTAGACAGGCAGGACAAAACATGAGGAGTGGTTTGAGTACAAGGGAACACTGCTCTTGCAAGCAAAAAATCTTGCAAAATGTATCATTCTGAAGCATTGTAATGGATGAAGTAGTATTCTCCTCTCCCAATCCATGGCTCACCCCAGTGTAGAGTACAACAGAAAAAAAAGCAAAATACGTAGGATATGCGCTCGCCGCTGGGTCTTCACAGGGTACCTGTAGGTGTGTTCCCTATTTTATCCTTTGTATGTGCCCTAATGACTTTCCTTCAGTCTCATCAACAATCTCGTGGCCTCACCCACAGAACCTTTCAAGTGAGCACTCTGTCCCTTTTTGCCTCACTCATTGCTCACACTCACGTTCTCTGCCTTCCAGTATCATTTGATGTCTCATTGTATTCTACGCATACTTATCTAATGCACATGTTTTGAGTATGTTCACTCTTTGCGCAACTTGAGTTGAGACGTGGCCACCCTCAACAACAACTTGAGCTACCCTCAATGCAAGGATTTGAGTTACTCTCAAGTCATCCTTGAGGCACTCCACCTTGTTCCCTCAAGACTGACCTCAAGGATGACTTGAGGTCACTTCCTATTCCCTCAGGACAGAACTCGTCTTGTTACTCAAGTTTTACTTGCATACATCGGACAAGGGAAGTAAGGTGAGGTAAGTAAACTTAAGTTTTTTGCACCATCTTTGAGGCAACCTAGCCTTGATTTCCTTACATTTGGATGTGTTGCTTAGGATTATGTACCGTTCTTTTTCTTGTTGTATTTCCCTCCCCAGAGTCAAGTTCCTCTGGTCGCCCGACGTCAACGATACCGACACAATATTGAATCCCAGCGCACTTAAAACCCCGCTAATATGAAATAGTTACCTCCTTCGACTGCAGCCAGCTCTCAGGAACTGAACCAAATACATATATCAGCAGTCTACGTGCCTGGTACCCCCCTCCCTAAAATGACTCTTGTATCTTTGTCGGTTAAGCCCGGTATCCCTGTAACTGAATTTGCGAGTTTGATACCTAAAGTTTGTTCCGTTAGGATGGGAGGTTTACCAGTAGGAAGCCCAAGGGAGAAGAGGACGAAGAAACCTGTTCCTGAGTCGGTCCGGGTTGTCTGATTTGTTTTCATAGTTGCCACTGCTCGATTAAAGCTTGCCATCCTATTTCAGGAATGCCCGGCCCTATCAAAAACAGGTTGTTTGTATAGTGGGAACGACCTCACACGCAATATACTTCTGGGTCTCGCCGGTCCAAGAGAAAGCAAACCCCCCCACCGTGGGACCTCTTTCTCCTTCCGTAGGAATTTACCAACCGCCGCTTTCCACCTGTTGTCACAATCGTAGGCCGCTCTCGAAAATTCATGCCTGACCAATCTGTCTCACCCCACGGTGAAATCACAGCGCACCTTCTGACGACTACAACTCCAAGCGACCTCCAATTCACCGCATTTTGCTCGTGACTGTTTGAAAAAAATACAAAATATCGTGGGATGAGAAAGAATTGGTCAGCCACGAATTTCTGAGGGAGGCCTACGATTGTGACAACAGCTGTCAAAGAATCCCATCATATACTTACGGGTCCTCTCTTCGACAGTACACAGACTCTTCGCCTCGTCGTATTACTCCCAACGCAAATTCTCACGACAACCACTGACCTCCTGGACAGGATCGTGTACTGTTCCAGTTCTCCTTGATCGCATACATTGAAGTTGCTACGACACGAGCAATGAGTACCGATGCAAATGACTCGGATAAAAGATGTACCTCAGACCGGCGGTGCACCCTTTGGGCCTCCAGTAATGACAACGTAAGTTTGACAGCGGACTTTCGTCCTATCTATATCCTAGTTACCTATATTCCCTGTAGTTCTGTAGTGGCTAACATCATCGCCTTTCATAGTCTGAAACCCAGTTGGAGCGCGATAGATCAGGGTTTGATTCCCTGTAACGAAATACATGATTTTGCCACGCAGAAGTATTTTTTCATTCATTCGGAGAGTAAGTATAGAACAAAGGAGAAGAGTTGAGAGCTCAAATACTCAGACCATTTTTCATCTTTCCCTGAGGGCGATCGGTCCTTATAACGACGAAATTTTTTGTAGTAAGTAGGTTCGGGAACCGGGGTTGACGTTGAGTAGTTGCAACGGGACCTCTGGAGCTCCTCAAAGTCGACTGAGGCCTACTGTCCAATTGAGATAATGCACGAACCTACAAAGACCGGGCGTCTGTAAGTAATAGGCCCAGGAGTGGATCCCATTTACCTCGACCGTTTACCCGAGTTATAGGTGGTTTCTCTCTATAGCCTCAACAATCGCTTAGGTCGTTGTCAGCCCTGAGGATGGGATTGGAGATAGCATGAATAAAGTACTCGATCGTTACCCTCGCCATAAACACAAACGCGGGAACCAATAGGCTCGCTGGCTGGCACTTACGACGGTTTAGAATGCCCGAGGTCAAGTAGAAGAAGAAAACGGGAGTAGTTTAGTGAGCTGGCAAATCTGGAAAAAGTTTATGGACATTTGGATTCCACAGTCTGCCTTCATCCGGCTTGCCTGAGTTGCCCGAGTTGAGCAGCAGTGCGAGCGACTACGATGTGATACCCGCTCCCGTGTCAACGAGCGTATTGTAGTATCTCATTCCAGGGATATCTACTTCACATCTGTTGGGAACGTCATTTGCTGCTATAGCAATGTCGGATATCTGAGAGTATCAGGAATATCACTGTCAACAGCTACAGGTAAAAGCTCTTGTATACTTTCCCACGCGCTTTGCCACAGTTCGCATCTTTTGTCAAGAGTTGACTGTCTTATTGACTACTGCCTTTTAGCACAACACTCTCAGCCTGCCGAATAGGTGTGATGGACTCGGTGCAAGCAACAACCGACGGTGCTTGTTCTTCGATACTGGGATTGAGATTTGAACGCATCTCAAAATGTTTGTATAATGAGAGCTCGAAATCTCACCCCTCAAGTAAATCGCTCCCTCCAGATCTTGACCCGGCAATGCGGTCTCTGTGAGTCGTCTTTCCCTCAAATTGTTTATATTGCACGTAGGCAGTGGGCACTCAACTTGCCCCTCTCCCCCCAGTGCCGATACCACCGCGCCACTCTTCAGAGTTTCACTATCTGCACTTATTTGTTTTCATCTCTCTATCCCCGTACACCTTGGGACTATCTTGATACTCCGCCAAACGTCAGCCATCGCAATCGATACCGACATTCTCCCGACTCTATTCGTCGAAGAGCCCTTTACCTACACTTGGTACATAACTGACTCTGATCCGCCCGTGGGAAACGTGGCCTTTGGTTTCCTTGAGCCGAGCCACAGCAATTTATTTTTGCAACACGATGTGCCTGTGAGCACCAGCATGCAAGGCGAGGATACATATATCGCTCAGATCCCTCCTGGGTGGGTTATTTTTTCTCGCGAAGGCGAATGATAGGCTGCTCACGGGCCAGGTCTCTGTATGTTGCAGGACCTATCAGCCATACGTCGGCGTTGGGTATCTCTTTCGAAATGGGTAAGGTGGCTATACGACAAGACGTTGATGGTCGATGAGTCTCATATCTTCACTCA